CAGTGAATAGGACCTAAGGCAATTTTCTTAACCTCTCTAAGCCACAGTTTCTTCATTTGCAAATTGGAGTTAATAGCAACAAATTCTAGGTTGTTGGAATTAAATACATGTAAAGTGTTTCCCATGGTACCTGTGATTTTGTAACTGCTTAAAAACTTTAGTGTTTCTTATAATTTCTGCATAGATTTTTTAATAATACTAATTTCATATAGATAGGAATATAGTGCTAGAGATAAAAATGTATCCTGCCCAACAGAGTTTATATTCTAGTGGAGGAAACTGAAGCATTTTGGAAATGAGAAAAAAGTATTCTGGAGGTGTCAGGTACTATGACATTTAGTTAATCTAAGATGCCATTGGTTGAAAGACAGGTTATTATTTTATGTACCATTACTGAAGAAAAGTGCAGCTTTAAACTATAAAATGGTGCTGAGAAATACCAACTCCAGGAGACATCTTGATTTCAAAATTTTTAAATATGAAAAATGTTTGTGTTTTAGAAATAGAAGAAAGTATTGTTATTTGTGTGAAAGAGAAGATGATCTCTTCTATTTTATAAAACTAATGCTACTATATAAAAAACCATTTGGGGTATTGTTTTATGACTAGAATGTAAAAAAGATGATTATATGAAAAAATGGAAAGGATTAAGTTTTCAGTCAAAAACTGACAGACTAAATAGTATCTTCTGTGAGGTATTGGAGAATCTGTGGTATCAATGACTGTTGTCTTGTATGGCTGTTTCTGCACTTAATAGGCCAGAATGGGTTTCCACTTGGAGTGGTTGGGGAAAACAGTAAGGAGTTCTGAACTAGCTTTCCTTGTAAATGAGGATTCCAGGCTTAGCAGCATTCTGAGAAGAGCTCTGGGTTTTAAAATAATGGTCAGGAAATGGGGTGGCCTCTTTTGCAGCACATTCAAATTTCAGGTGAATGCATGACACTAAGCGCTGTGGAAGAAATTTTTGTAGGCATTGTTTCTCTAAATGACATTTTTCAAGGAGGATTCTGAATTGTTTTAATGTGATTTTTATGGTGGTTTTAAAATTTTCATAAAATCATAAAATTTTATAGCTGGAAAATTTCTTAGAAGTCATCTAGTTCAAGTTTTTATTCTTTAGAAGGAACAAAAGCCCCTAAAATTTAAGAGAAAGGCACATAACTTCTTTGTGGCCTGGACAAGACTAGAGCTCATGTCTTCTGATTTAGTGCCCTTTGAACATCTTCTTACTATCAAGATTTGGGTGTATTTATACCTGGATAAAAATTACCTAATTATATAAAGAACATTGCTATGCTTAACAAACTCTAACAAAAACCACTTATTAAAAATTCTAAATGTTATTATTTTATATATTTCTTTCAAGTTTCTAACTTCAGTGCTTGTTTTCTGGTATGCATAGTTTTCAAATTAGTAAACTTTTAATATTAAACAGAAATGCTGAAGAAAATAGCAAAAGAAGGAATGGAAAGTGTGTAACTTTTTTTTTTAAAATATATTTTATTGATTTTTTACAGAGAGGAAGGGAGAGGGATAGAGAGTCAGAAACACCGATGAGAGAGAATCATCAATCAGCTGCCTCCTACACACCCCTCACTGGGGATGTGCCCACAACTAAGGTACATGCCCTTGACCGGAATCGAGCCTGGGACCCTTGAGTCCGCAGGCCGACGCTCTATCCACCGAGCCAAACCGGTTAGGGCAGTGTGTAACTTTCTTTTTATTTTAATAGTTTCATGACATGTAAGAGAGTTCTATGAATATTTAGTGTTTTGTTTGTGCTAAGTACTGTAGCATATAGAGTAAAGGTCTGACTTTTCAAGGCAGGGCCTATTGTAGCATTGACTAGGAACTGGTAATTTTTTGTTGTCATAGGACAGGTAGTTGCTCTTGTTCTATCTGTCTTGCCTTTAAAAATGAAAGTTTGGTTGTGTTTTACATCACCAATAGAATCGTCATAGGAAATGCTTGTGTTCAGAGTAGTATTTCTTTGGCTAGCCCTTTTTAGATCTTTTATAGGTTTCTTCCAAGCCTGAATAATGACTATGGGAGGTGTGAGAGAGAGAGATTTTTAAAAATATATATATTTTTTATTGATTTTTTTACACAGAGGAAGGGAGAGGGAGAGAGAGTTAGAAACATCGATGAGAGAGAAACATCGATCAGCTGCCTCCTGCACACCTCCTACTGGGGATGTGCCCGCAACCAAGGCACATGCCCCTGACCGGAATCGAACCTGGGACCCCTAAGTCCGCAGGCCGACGCTCTATCCACTGAGCCAAACCGGTTAGGGCAAGAGAGCGAGATTTTAAGAAACATATTAAGATGCCCACCATTTGGAACTGTTTATGACATTTTGAAATGTATACTAAATAAACATTGAAAATTTTAAATTGGATAATTGAGATGTTGTCTATAATTTAGAAATTATATGAATAGATGATAGGGCATTTTATTTTATTGGAAGAGTTGAAAAGGAAATGAATATATAATTTTTGTGAAGTATGGAGTATTGAAAAGTAAAAATCAGTGTACTAATGACTACATAGCAGTGATATTTCTGTTAGTACAGATTTTTGGCTTTGGCGGGGGGCATACATTCTCTACTGAAACTCTTCATTCTTTGCTACTGTAGTGCAAGAGGCTCAAGTGAGTATGTGATTAAATAGGAAAACAGTCGGCTGGCCAGATTTAGTCTGTGGCTATAGTTTGCTGGCCTGTTCTAAGATATAAAGTCCCTTTGGTCCATGGCACCATATGACTTTTGAATCTGAATAATTTAGAAAAATGGCTTGACCTCTTATGGGAAAAGAGAGTTAATGTTTTGGGAAAGTCTAGCTTCAATTTTCTGCAGCTGAACATTTCCCCCCATTGTCATGTTGCCTATCTCTAGCAGATAATAAAGTTTTATAAAATCATTTCATTATGTTAGTGATTACACATTTGTTTTAAAACTTTTTCTGGGAGTTGATTTCCTAGGATGTCAGTTTTATGGGTTTTGTTTCCTACTGCAGCTTTGAAATTCAGCCAAGAATATTTCTCAGCCCATAAAACATTTTCACTGTGCTATTCTCTGGCTAGCTCTCAATGATTTGTGGAAATAAAGGGCAAGGCAGCATGGGTAATGGGAATCCAAAGAATTCCCTTCACCTCATCATCCACATTATTTACAGCCACTGTTTCCTCCTACAGCAAATAGCAAATTGGACAAGTATGAGTTCACCACTTTCTGTTTAGAAGTGTCCTATTGGAGGGTATCAGTAATGAGTTTCTGAATACCGATAGTTTTATAAAAAATAATGAATTAAATATCTTTACTTAGGTGCTACCTAATACAATCACAGAACCATAGACTTCTGAAGTTAGAAGGATTTATATAATATCTAATATAACTTCTTCATTTATACATGCCAATGATTATGAAGTCCTTAAGGGGACAGTAATATCTTTATCCTCTTATCTCAGCTTTCTAGAGCAATGTCTTCCAAAGAAGCACCAGACATTCATTTTTCAAATAAGGCAGTGATGGTGCAGAGAACCTATAGATTGGATTCACTAAGTTGGTTGTTCTCAGAATCTGAGCTCACTATGTTTTAGTGTTATTTTAAAAAAATTAAACACTGGGACTGTCTTGGGGAATTTTGTGGCCTGCATTTATGTGCATAGAAGCATCACTGTCTTCATTCTAAAGAATCCTTTGTAAGGTTTGGAATACATTCACCTGTCAAAGACCTCTGAAAAGAATTAATGAAGTACTAAGCAATGCTTTTTCAAAAAAATTCTAGATCATAGGCCTTTGGGATATAATTAGGTTTACATGAGGTCATGTGGGTGTGGCCCTCATGGGGGGATTAATGTCCTTTTAGAAGAAACACCAGAGACCTTGCTTTCTATTTCTCTCTGCCATGTGAGGACACAGCAAGAAGGCGGTCATCTATAAGCCAGGAAGAGAGCCCTCACCAGAACTCAGCCATTCTGGCACACTGATCTTGGACTTCCAGCCTCCAAAACCATGAGAAAATGAATATCTGTTGTTTAAGCCTCTAGTCTGTGGTGTTCTGTTATGGCAGCCTGAGCTAACTGATAAACATCCCTTCTAAAATACTGGTGTTAGTATTCTGTTTGTTATTAATGTATTAATTAATTTATTTTTTAAATTGATTAAAAAATTTTTTTAATATATTTTTATTGATCTCAAAGAGGAAGGAAGAGGGAGAGAGAGATAGAAGCATCGATGAGAGAGAATCATGGATCAGCTACCTCCTGCAATCCCCCTATCGGGGATCGAGCCCGCAACCTGGGCATGTTCCCCTGACCAGAATCGAACCTGGAACCTTTCAGTTTGCAGGCCGACGCTCTATCCACTGAGCCAAACCGGCTAGGGCTGTTATTCATTTATTTTTCATCACTATATACTTCCTGGGTGATCTTTTCTACTTCCATCTTTCCAGATACCATCTCTATGGCAAGACTTCAAGAGATATATTTCTACATCAGACTGCTTTCTTTTATGTCTAACTCTCAAGATGTCCCACAGGCACTGCAAACCCAACATGTTTGCAGTTAAAGTTCTTTTCCCCCAGTGACTCCATGGAGACTTTCGTTTACCAGCCTTATTGATTGTGTCGCCTTAATATTTCTCATATAGATCCACTTCTTTCTCTTTTTTAAAAAAAAATTATCTTTATTGTTGAAAGTATTACAGATGTCCCCTATCCACTTATTTTTAAATAAGCAAATCTTTCTTCCCAAATCTTTTATATTTGACAGTTGTGTAGCATGTCATTATTGGAGAGAAAAAGAACATGGTTGATGATGGAGGAAAAGAAATGATTTGAATAGAGTTGGTTTTGGGATATGATAATTCAATAAGTAATGAATTCTAAAGTATGCATTTTATATTTTGAAACTTTTTTTGTTAGAGAATATACAATATTTTTAAAATAATGGAGTATTTGGAGATCGGTAAACAGATTTTTAAAACTGTTTTTAAATGTCAGTTCTTCAGGTGCTGGGAATGTAGCTGACCGTGTTTTGGCTCAACTCCTTACGGAAATGGATGGCATTGAACAGTTAAAGGATGTGACTGTTTTGGCAGCTACTAACCGCCCAGATAGGATAGACAAGGTAAGAAAGAAGGCCGTGTGCGTGTTGTAAATTCAAGAACTAGATCATTTGATTGTTTTTTTATGTCAAATTACTTCCTAGTCAGTTTTTCATTTAGAGAATACTGAAAGCTTTTTAAAAAATATTTAAAAAATTGATTTCAGAGAGCAAGAGAGAGGAGAGAGAGATAAAAACATCAGTGATGAGAGAGAATCATTGATCGGCTGCCTCCTGCATGCTCCCCACTGGGGATCCATTCCCGTAACCTGGGCATGTGCTGTGATCGGTGATGGAATCTCCACCTGGTTCGTAGGTCAACATGATACCAGTTGGCTGCAAGCTTTTAAACTAAAGGAAATGAAGAGAACAGAGAAAAGTTTATGTTATTATTGTTTATGATTTTTGTATTAATGAAACCCTTTGAATTTCCCCTACCCCATGGTTACAGCAAACTTTCAATATATTTCCCTAGGGAATTAAAGTTCTGTGATTCTCTTGTTTATTTCGTCTGATGGTTTTTGAGAAGTTTTTAACATTTCCAGTCATATTAAGATAAATTTCTGGCTATTTAGTACTAGACTCAAGTTATTATTAACAACTTTCCTGAAGTCCTGGCCTAACCACTGATTTCAAAATAATTAGAATAAAAATGACAATGGATTTTACTTCTGTAATAAATCCATTGCTTAGCCTGTAGTGTTAAATAAGCTATATAGGTGCAAAATTAACCTTTTTAAGATATTGCTATCCCTCCCCTCCAGGCCATAGTTTAATGTAGAGCCAACTAAATTTTAAGTGACTAACGTATACTAAATGTATAATTTTTTCAACAAGGATTTAAATTGAGGGTAATAATTTACTCCTAGAGCTTGAACCAATTTCTCCTTTTTTGTTAACATGACTTTATGAGCTCCTCCCATCCTGTGCACGTGTACACAGACTTTCAGTTATAAAAATGAGGTTTAAAAAATGATCCTTTTGAAGATATAAAAGGAGCTTTTATGTGGAAAGAAAGCCTTGCTTTCGTTTACTTATGTATTTTGCTATGTGACAAAGACCCTTTAGTCGCTACAGGTAAGAAAGCTTTAGACCTGAATAAGTCATTCTTTTTCTGATGCAGTGTTTTATAAGAAGCCAGGTGAGTTCTGAGCATTTGTGGGATCTGGGTCAGTGCCCAGCCTTCTCTGATGCTTAAAAAAAGGTAGGACTGTGTGTGACCAAGGGTTATAGAAAGTGTTGAAAGAGCCCATAAAGATGACCTAGTCCTACCTTTTGATTTCACAAATAAAGGCGCTAAATCCAGAAAAATCATCGTTTTCCTGTTAAGACTACATTATGTTTTTATATTTGTCTCCTGGTGACTTCATGGCTGATGAGTTCTAAAATTTATTGGTTTTCCTTCTCTGTAATGCCTAATCTAATAGCGGTTTTCTTTGGTTCCTTAATATTGTATGTCCTCAGTGTTAGCTACATTTCTTGAAGTAGGACATTAAGTTCTAAATAAGTTTCTCTGGGTTCCTCTAAAGTTGTATGACTCAGCCCGGTTGGTGCTTGTGTTAGTTCTCTTGCTGTATAACAAGTCACCTCAAATTTAGCAGCTTCCCACACCACCCATGTATTAGGGTGTCTGTAGGTAGGTCAAAATCTGGGCATGGCATGACGGAGCTGTCTGCTCAGGGAATCACTACAGGCCAAAAACTAGGTGTTGGCTGGACTACTAGTACATTCTCGTCAGGAGCTGGTACTCTTCTTCTAAATGCACATGGTTGTGTGATTGAAGGTCTAGGGACTGAATTTATTTACTGGGTCAGCTGGGAGCCACTCTCAGCTCCTGGAGACCTCCCATGTATCCCCTTCCCATCTTCAAAGAACGCAGTGGGGAAAATCCATATCTTATACCTCTCATGGTTTAAATTTCCATTGCCAGGAAAAGCCACCTGTTTTAAAGTCTCACCTGGTCAGGTTAGTCCCCGTTTCTCCCCCGCCCCCCAAAGGGAAATCTCTCCACCTCCAAGTCAACTGATTCAGGACCTTAATTATATTTGAAAAAACCCTTCACAGTAGCACCTAGATTAGTGTTTGAGTGACTGGGAGAAGGTGGGTCCACCAGGGGGTTGTGGCTGACTGTACTAGAATTCTTCCTACCACAGTGCTCTTCAGCTTCTCCCCCCACCCCCATCCCTCCACTACCTAATTTCTCTTCTAGGCACTAAGAGCAAATTTTAACTCTCAGAGACCAACTTATCCTTACCTGTTATATGACTGGTGACAAACTAGCTCCTTTGAATTGTCCTTGTTCTGTGGAATCTGCTGTCATTTCAGATGCGGCATTTATCTGCCTTGCCTTATACGTCTTCAAATTATACATGTGATCTCTCTTAAAATAGAAAAGGATAAAATAATTAAAATTCCTTTTTGAAAGGATACATTTTTTTCATGTTCTTCATATGTGTAATACTTAGTAAATCTGTTCTTTAACACAGCGGAATTGTTGATTTATGTTTTGCTTCTATTTCTCTCTGTAAGAGCTAAATTGAACACCAACTGTGTGTTTTGTAGTAAAATTTATCCTAAATTTTACCTATACTTGGTACAAAAGACCTTGAGAAATTTTTAAGACAAACCTAGAGATGAGAAATTATTCTTGGGCCACTCTAAGGTTTGGGGCCTTTCTTCAGGCTCATCTTAGAAGAAGTCAAAAACCCCCAAAGTAGATGACTTCCATTCTCTTTAGGATACCGTAGTCTGTAGATACCTTGGATCTCTTGGAGAAAATGCTTAACCAGATTTTGCACAGAACTTTTCTCCAAAGTGTGAGATTGAAGGGATGGAAGTGGATCTTCTTTTTTACATTTTAGATTTTTTGCACTGTGTTTGTGTTTCTTACCTGCTAATAATATTAGCCCCAGGTAGTAGGTGGTGTTTCATTAGTAGCAACTCATAAGTGACAGTCTTCAACATCGCAGAGTTTGAGAAATTGAAATTAAAGTTTGGGAAATATCTTACCCGAATTCTAGTCATATTTTTGATCCTTTATAAAATGTTACCTTTAGTACCTCAGTTCTAAAAACACCTCTAACTGTCCAAAATAAATGTTTTAAGAGCCAGTATTTTTACACATACTGTTAACATTTCTTGATTTAATAACCTTTGCTTCAAGAGGCTTCAAAGAAAACTGCAAACATATATGTATGTGTACTTGTGTGTATGACTTTGTTTATACGTATACATATAATCACATTATATATACACACATACATACATACTTTGATTAGTTTTTTAAATTAATCCTCACCCGAATATATGTTTATTTATTAGAGAGAGAGAGAGAAACATTCTTCGGTTGCTTCCTGTACACATCCCAACCGGGGATTGAACCTGCAACCTATGTATATGCCCTGACCGGGAATGGAACCTGCAACCTTTTGGTGATGGGATGATGTTCCAACCAACCAAGCCACCCAGGCAGGGCATACTTTGATTAGTTTCTAAAAATCGGAAGTCCATGTTTTTTTAACCAGTTAATTTTGGATGAGCACATTTAAACTAAGATGTTGAAAGCATTTGCTAAATAGATACAGACTTATTTTTAGGGGAAAGCTAAAGATCTTTAATTAAATATTTAAATTTTTGAAAAATTATAATGTTTACTTTGTAATAGATGAAAATAAAATTACTGGCAGGAAAACGTAAAATTAATAAATGGGAAAAAGTTATCTTTAAGTTCATCAAATGATATGCTATGCTTTTAAGTGCAGCTTTGAATGCAGTTCATTGAAACATGGCTTAAAGGTTCTGTATCCTGTACTTGTACAAAGTAACTACTTTAAATAATTAGAGATTTTTGTAAAAATATTTTTTAAAATATATTTTATTGATTTTTTACAGAGAGGAAGGGAGAGGGATAGAGAGTTAGAACCATCAATGAGAGAGAAACATCAATCAGCTGCCTCCTGCACCCCCCACTGGGGATGTGCCCGCAACCAAGGTACATGCCCTTGACTGGAATCAAACCCGGGACCCTTCAGTCCGCAGGCCAACACTCTATCCACTGAGCCAAACCGGTCAGGGCTGTAAAAATATTTTAATCCTTTTCTATTTCAGGTAGAATTTCATATTTGTGTGGAATATGGCTTTTTTTCTTAAGTGTACTTTTGATACTACTTAGATGATATAGAGTATGTCAAAAGTCTGCTTCCTTTCCAGATTTTTTTCCTTTGAAGAACTATTATAGAGTATTTCTATATTATGTAATCTTATATAATAAAGCTGTAATATGCAAATTGACCATCACACCCTCGCACACGTTGGCCGCCCCCATGTGGTCACAAGATGGCCGCCACAGATGGCCTGCAGAGGAGGGCAGTTAGAGGTGACCAGGCCTGCAGGGGAGGGTAGTTGGGGGCGACTAGGTCTGCAGGGGAGAGCAGTTGGGGGCGATTGGGCCAGCAGGGGAGCAGTTATGCATCGATCAGGCTTGCAGGGGAGTGGTTAGGTCCTAACCGTTAGGGGGTGGTCAGTCTGGCAGGCCGAAGCGGTTAGGGGCAATCAGGCAGGCAGGCAGGCAAGCGGTTGGGAGCCAGCAGTCCGGATTGTGAGAGGGATGTCCGACTGTGGGATTGGGCCTAAACCAGCAGTCGGACAATCCCCTGAGGGGTCCCAGATTGGAGAGGGTGCAGGCTGGGCCGAATTTCGTGCACTGGGCCTCCAGTAGTACTATAAGAAAAAAGATTCAGCACATGTGTGATTAGAACATGGTGTCCAAAATGTGCCCTGAATGTGCTAGTAGAAACAAAACAGTCTTAGAGACAATTTTTAAAAAGAACAACAACAACAAAAAAACAATTTCCTGTTAAACTAATAAATAGACATAGTTTTCACCACCTGTATTGTCTGGAGGAAACTGTAGTAGGAAGAGAACAGTCAACAGAAGAATTAAATTAAATGTCATGGGCTGATGCTGAAAGGTAGAGATTTTGTTTTTAGCCTAAAACTGGAAAGGGGGGGGAAAGGACCAATCT